GCTCGGGCCGAGCCTCCTGCGTGCCAGGCTCTGCCTCCCACTGCCTGTCTGAGCAGCCCGGGCTGGTGCTGAGCTTCACTGCTGGAGAGACCCGAGGCAGAAAAGGATGGTGATGGGAACAAGCAGGTCTCAGAGGCATTAAAAGCTAGAAAAAGCCATCAAACGATCCACAAAGCAGCATTTTTTGGCCGCCTTGTTTTGCAGCAGTGACTAAGAGAATTTACAAGCATCTGAAACGTGGCTCAAACCATGCACAGACAAAGGATGTTCGTGGTGGTGCAGGGCCAGGAACGTGCCTGGTCTGGACGTCGGAGTGACCTGGCAAGCTGTTGTGGTTCGTGGAGGAGCCGTGAATTTAGGCTCAAAGAATTTCAGGAAAGCTGGAGGTCGTTTAGCTTTGCGGATGTGAGTTGAGGGAAAGACGGAGCCCAGCAGAGAGCAAAAGACAATTGCAGAGGGCAAGTCCTCCTCGAATGGGCAAGTCCTTTGACCCATCCGGTGCCATCTCAGGGACACTATTCTGCTCGTGCTTGGGGACAGGGTAAGGCCGAGGTGCCCCTGCCCCATTTTCCCTCCTGTGGTGACTTAGGCAGGTCAGGAGCACGTCCATCTCGCCATACTCAGCTGCGTCGTTTCAGCCGTCCACAGTACAGCTCCATAACTGCAAGTGTTGCCTTCGCCACTGAGACATCTCAAAGCCCTGATTTGTTGTCATGTCTGTTAAACACTTGCACAGCTCTGCCCTGTGACAGCGTGGGGAGGTCGCTTCCTGCGTGCACTTCACTCACAGGCATTAAAGATGCCCAGCTGATTGCCTTTGGGCAGTCAGCAGTATTTCCTCATTCCAAGCCAACTCCACAAGGAGATCTTGCTGCTTCCTGAGCTCATAAAAGCAGTGAAATTGCTTTTTTTCCCTTCTTACAGTGTGGCTGGTTTCCATGCAGATGTAAAGCCCAGCTATCCTGACCAAGGCTCAGAGCACTTCAGCTTGTGCCTCGTTCTCTGCCAGGTAAAATGCACAATAATTATACTTTATAGTACTTATTTAAGTAAGATGTATAAGTTTTTATCGAATACTTTAAGCAATACACATTTGAGTGTTTCTGCCATCTCTGCTTGCTCTTGGTCTCTGTATTTCTCACCTCCTAGTGAGCCGTCCTGATTTTCTCTCTCCAGTTCAGTGTCCCAGCTGAATGCTGTGCTCCTGCTGGACCATCCCTGGCTTTTCCTTCTGGGCTGCGTTGCGGGACGCGGTCGCTTTGCTCCATCCGCCTACCCCTGCAGCCCTGCCGTGCCACCAGCCACGAACGCTGGGAAGCCAGGTTGGCCGTGCTAATGACAGGACTGAGGTCGTCGGCAGCGCGGTTCTGCCCACAGATGTCGGAGGGTTTTGCGGAGGAGGTAAGTTCTGTTCTTCTCCGTAGGGAAACTGAGGCAGGGGAGAGGTGAGGACTTGGATACAACCAGGCCTGAAAAGAAGGCTGCAGGTGCTGGGGAGCTTTCTTCAGTTCCCTGGTGTTAAAGCTGCATTTGCTTCAGTTTCCATCAGTTCTTCAGTAACTGCCAAGGCCAAAACCCTACTCTGGGGCTGACTGAGATTTTCACCTTGGAATTAAATGTCACAAAACCAGTGTGAGCTGGGCTGAGTCCTCAGCAATGCTGGGCAGGGGGGAGACAACTCCTGTGCTGGGAAGGCTTCCACCTGAGAAGCCTAATGAGCTTGATGAGAAGTCTGATTGGCTTGATGAGGTTTTAAAGAGCAACACCCCATGCAGTGGAGATGAAAAGAGGTCCTCCAGGCTCTGGCTGGTGATACTGGTCCTTTGTGCTCTGCACTGGAGCAGCTGCAGCCTGGGAAGAGGTCTGAAGGATGGGCTGGGAGCTGGGTCTGCTTTGCCTGGGGAGCCACTGCAGCGAGCTGAGCGGGACCTGGCCCGGTGCCGGGAGGAGAGGAGGGACAAGGGGCTGTAAAACCATCCAGCAGCTCCCAGTGTCTGGCTCTGAGGAGCTCCCAGGCAACTCGAGGCAAGCAGTGGAGGTTTTAAGGGGATTTAGCAATCAATGATAGCAATAAAAAGTTTCAGTTAGTATTATGCAAATTGCTAAAGCATCTTTGCTTAGTCAGTCCCTTCTAAGTGGTGTTGTTTGTCTTTCCTGGGGGAAAAAATCGTTTGGGGCTCCACCCTTTCCTAATGAAGACATCTAACCTGGGGAGCCCTGGTTTCTCACACCTTGATGGTAGCCAGCTGTGTCGTAAACAGTCAGCGTTGGGTGGAATGGAGCCCGCTCCTCCTGTGCGGGTGTGAGGAAGAAGAGAGCTGTGCCTTGGACTCAGGGGTTCTCTGGAGAGAGGGTGTAACTCCCCTGCTCGCCTAGCTGGTCACGTGCGTGGAGAACAGATGTGTTGGGGGTTATGGGAGACCACTGAGGTCTGGTGTCTGGGTTAGGAAGGGAGAGCTCCCAGGAGGGCTTGGCCTGTGCCAGTTTTAGACCCCTGTAAGCCTTGGCGTATGAGATCCTGGAGCAGAGATGAGAATTAACCCCCCTTTCCCCAAATGAAGGTGTCGAAATAAGGCGAATGAGTTGCTATGTCAATTTATTGGAGATGCAAGACTAAAACTAGAATAAAAGCCACTGATAAAACACAGGGTCATTAGAAATAAATCACCACTTCTGCTTTTCCTTCAAATAGGGTTAATGTACTTAACTAGCAGTTCAGTGTGCTAGGTACCGGGCGACTGGGAAGGCAATTGATGCTGGTCCCATGTGTTTAAGGTTGGGTTTGGATCCCTGGACTAAGATCGCAGGGGAGCTTTTTGTCTTAGAGCCAGACATACAGATGGATCAGCCCTTTTCATACCTGACAGCGGACTCTGGTCCCCAGGCCCTTCAGTTATGGTGGCATTTATGGCAACAAATAAGCCAGACCATTAAAAACCCAGAAGAAAAAGGAAAGTTGAGGATTGGTCTCAAAACAAGTAATGCATGTATGTAAGCAAACTACCTTCAGTCACTAACACCCCTTGAAATCTGTCCTTTGGCAACCGTCCTCACGGTGAAAAAAAATGTTTCCTTATGACCAGGCATGTACGTGTAACCAAAAAGGCTGACTGATAAGGTTGATCCGGGGTAGGAGCTGCTAAGACAACTGGGCTGGATAAAGCTCTAATGAAAATGCTTTTAGGTATAAGGTGCCCTCTCTGCCACTTCATTTTAATCATTGAATCTGTAGGAGTGGAAGGACTGGGGAACTACACCAAAAGCATCTTGTTTTAACTGCCTAGTGGGAGTGATGAGGGGGATTTTAGCCCTTCTTGCTGCTGGATTCCCTAGTGGAAACAGCAAAACTTTGAGCATAGAAAAGACTTCTTTGCCTTTTGTATCCCCATGGAACGGAAGAGGGGCATGCAGTTGGGGGGGAGCTGGGTGCACACCGGCTCTGGCCTGGCTGTTGCTCTGTGTGGGCAGAAAGGTGTGCGTGTTGCTTTGTTTCCAGCCTTGCCATTTATCTGGAGCTCTTCAGGTGTTGCTCCTGGCTGACCTGGTCATGGACACCACCTTCACGGGGGAGCTCTTCATGCTCTGGCTGCTGGCACCATCACTGCAGCTTGCCGCTGCGCCGCAGACCCCCGCGCTGCTGGTCCAGCACGAGTTTCTGTTGCCTGACGCGTGGGCACCTGCAAAGCCAGGCTCTGGGCTGTGGGTGAGACCTCCATGCGAGTGGCAGACACCTGTGACAGCCAGAGCAAAGCTGTGTTTCAGCTTGGGGATTTCCCTGGAGAAAAGGCAGAAGATGCCCGGGTTTGGTAGCAGGCGAATACTCCAGCTTAGGGATGTAGGCGGGGAAGCTGCCTTCTGCACAGAGCCCACAGAGAGTGGGAAAAGGTTGTGCATTATCAAGCTATCTTCAGGTTCAAAGCCCTTCAGCCTCAAATGTGAGCCTGACCCTGTCAGGCCTGTCTCTCGCTGTTTGGAGGCAGCAGGTCTGGCTGTTTGGGTGGGTTCGCACCAGTGGAGGTGTTTTAAGACTGACGGGAAGACCAGATCTGCGTCAGGACTGTGTGGCTGATTTGCAGCGTGGCAGCTCTGGAATAGCACTGTCCAGTTGTTTTTCCTTTCAACACGTGCATCTGAAGTAGCTTGTGCAGCACTGCTAGGGTCTGTCACCCACCTGCTCTCCTCGCCCTCCAGCAGCTTCCTGTAGGTCGCAATCTCGATGTCCAGGGCCAGCTTGACGTTCATGAGCTCCTGGTACTCGCGGAGCTGCCGGGCCAGGTCCTGCTTCGCCTTCTGCAGGGCGGCCTCCAGCTCAGAGAGTTTGTGTTTCGCATCCTTGATGGTGGTTTCCCCATGCTGTTCAGCCTTGGCCACGGCGGTTTCCAGCTTGCAGCGCTGCAAGGAGCAAGACACGGTCAGTCTTGCCTGTCTCTGGCTATCTTCAAATGTAATGCAGCATAGCACCAGTTAGGTTGGAAAAGACCTTCAAGATCATTGTGTTCAACCAAACACTGCCAAGTCTGCACAGAATCACAGAATGGTAGGAGTTAGAAGGAACATCTGTGGATCATCTAGTCCAACCCCCGTGCCAAAGCATGCTGCGTGACTAAGCCACGTCTACACGTCTTTTAAATATCTCCAAGGATGGTGCCTCAACCACTTCCCTGGGCAGCCTGTTCCAATGCTTGATAACCTTTCAATGAAGAAACTGCTCCTACTATCCTATCTAAATCTCCCCTGGCACAGCTTGAGGCCATTTCCTCTCATCCTATTGCTTGTTACTTTGGAAAGCAGACCGATACCCACCTCGCTACAACCGCCTTTCACGTAGCTGTAGAGAGTGATAAAGTCTCCCCTTGGCCTGCTGCAGACTAAGCAACCCCAGTTCCCTCAGCCACTCCACGTAAGACTTGTTCTCCAGACCCTTCCCCAGCCTCATTGCCCTTCTCTGGACGCGCTCCAGCACCTCAAGATCCTTCTTGTAGTGAGGGGCCCAAAGCTGAACACAGGAGTCGAGGTGTGGCCTCAGCAGTGCCGAGCACAGGGGGACAAATCCTGCCCTGCTCCTACTGGCCACACCATTGCTGATACCAGCCAGGCTGCCGTTGGCCTTCTTGGCCACCTGGGCACATTGCTTGCTCATGTTCAGTTGGCCATTGACCAACACCCCCAGGTCCTTTTCCATGGGACAGCTTTTCAGCCACTCTTCCCCAAGCCTGTAGCATTGCGTGGGGTTGTTGTGACCCAAGTGCAGGACCTGGCACCAAGAGATGGGTTTGAAGTTGGGCTGTGCGTTCAGCCCTGTGGTAAGATGGATACACAGTCCCCTCTGGCAGGGGTTTGGGGGAGCTGGACATGCAGTTTCAGTTCTCCCTCATTGCTCACAGGGGATGGGATGGTGTAACCACATCTGCCCTTTGATGTTCCATGAGTTGAGCTTTAATGCAGCCCTAGGTGGAGTGGCAGAGTCCCAGCTCATGAACGCCCTTTGCAAGGTGCTACAACACCAGTTAATTTAGTCGTGCAAGCTCACAGGAGCAGCAATTCACTCTCTGCCCTGCTGAAACAACCAGACCTGGCTGTGCTCACCTGGTCCTTGGCTCTTCTGACTTCTCCGTTCAGTCTCTGGACTGTCCGTGTCAGCTCAGCTATCTTGATTTTTGCCTCTGGCAGGCTGTCAGCGTTTCTGCCTGCAGTGACTCGCAGCTCCTTAAACTAAAAAAGCCCAAAAGACAGTGTTGCATATCCTGAAAACGCACGCTTTGAGTTAAATCAAAGCAAATCAGGAGAGAGGGGGATGTTTCTCTGGGTTTGAAGTTGGCCTAAAGAGAGAAACTGCACCCAAACCCTCCCTCTGCCAGGTTTTCTCACCTTGCTTTCATACCAGTCCCGTGCTTCTGCCTGGCTCCTGCGGGCAATGTCCTCGTACTGAGCCTTGACACCTGCAGTGATGCCATCCAAGTCGAGATCTTGGCTGTTGTGCATCTGCATGATCAGCGAGGTAGCTGAGATCCGGGCCCGCAGCTGGTGGATTTCCTGGTGGCGACATGGGGTTGAGCTGGTCAGAGAGATGCTGGTCCTGCAGTGCTTGCAGCCCAGCCCCACGCTGGTGTGTCACCCGCACTGTCCTCCTTTGCAGGGACCAAGCAGAGATGAATTGCCAGGTCTCACCACTCACCCGAAGGGATGACCGCTGCCCTGTGTCACCCCCCCCTTCCTCTGTCCGGTGAGAAAAGCAAATTCAAAACCCAACTGGGAGACGCAAATGGTGGCTGGAGCAGTAGGGAGGCTTCTTACCTCTGTGTAGAACATTCTCAGGAGTTCAGCCTCTGCTTTCAGGCTTTCCACCTTGGCCTCCAGCTCTGCTTTGTTTAAGAAAAAACATTCCACATCCTGGAGACGCGTTGGGGATAGAAGAAGGAAGTTTGTTAGGGAGAACAGACCCGGGGCTCCCCTTGGGGTGAGGGACTTGCAGTGCTCGTACCGTGACCGTGCACCAGCTCCCAGTGAGGCAGCTGCTGCTGATTTGAGTTCGAGCAAACCCAAGCACCAGCTCCTGCTTGCCCTTGTTTTGTGAGCTGCTCTGGGAAAGAAGTCACTGCGTGCACCCCAAAGACCTGAATCTGGGGAGGAGAATTCAAACAGCCCCTTGCTCACCTTCTTCAGGGTTATAAACTCGCTCTCGGTGCACGTCCGCTGGCTGCATTCGTCCTTGTACCTGTGTGGGAAAATGGGAGATTTTGTTTGAGTTCAGTTCAGTTTTGTTAGAGTTCAGTGCAATTACATCTCTGTTTGCATTTCTGCAGGCCTGCGTTCACAAATTGAAACTCCTAATTTTTTTCCTTCTCCCAAAGCAGTGTTTTGAGATGCTTTGTTCTTGTTTTGTAGCCCATGGGAAAGCAAACATGTTTTCAGAGAGGTTTCTGCGTCTTTACAAATTTGCAGCAGAACTGTTTTCATTCGACTTCCTCAACAGCAAATAGCTGCTGGACATTTCTATATGTGGTTTCCTTGAGTTAGGAAGGAGAGGAAGAGAACCTGGAAGAGGGACATCCTTGGTTTCCTCAATATCTGTAAAATGGGACCTTGTTTTGTATCCTGGATGCTGGCAGATCTCTCCATGTGCCTGCTAGTTCTCTGGGAACCATTTACTACCACAAAAAGTTCATGGTCTCTGCCGGTTTACAAATCTTGAACAACATTTTGAGCCCTGTGCTCACATTTCTCTGTTTTGTACTTACATTTGCTGGTTGGTTTCCAAAACCTGCTGTGCTGCTCTCAGGTCTGTTTCTAACTGGGCTCTGTCGCACCCCAGTGCTTCCAGCTGCTTCTTCAAGTTACCAATATAAGCCCTGAACATGGGCGTGATGGTGTTCCTGCAGTGCTTTCGACCTTGCAGAAAGCTCCACTTGGTCTCCAGCACCTTGTTCTGCTGTTCCAGGGATCGAACCTGAATCGCAGAAAGCAGAGCAGGAAAAGAGGAGAGGATTTAGGTCTTGTGTGAGCCGGTGTCCATGCAACAGCAGTGAAACGTGTGTGCCTGCTCTTGGCACACGTGAGCGCAGCGTTTCCTAATCCGCCGCGCTTTTGTGCATAGGCTGGTCTTGGGCCACCCATGTGGAAATGCACAAAAACCTCATCACTTCCAGAAAGGAGAGATTTGCAGTAAGTGGAGGATGTGTGGAGAGGACTGGGAAGGAACTGGAAGGCTGATGAAACTGCTTTTAGCTTATTCCCTCCATGTGGTCAGGCCTAGAGATCAAAGCAACAGTGCCGGTCCACTGAAGCTTCCCAAGTGGCTCACGAACACTGTGGTGCTCAACGGGCACCCTTATGTGAGTTGTCCTCAGTGTCCAAAATGAGCCATCCTACAAGGATTTCATGCCCTTTCCGTGCTAGACACCTCGCTTGGACTCTGGTGCCTCACAGCTGGAGCTCGGGAGGGGTTCTCAGCTCACCTTGTTGATGAAAGAAGCAAATTTGTTGTTGAGGGTCTTGATCTGCTCCTTCTCTTGGTACTTCACTGTTTGCGTGTTGGGATCGAGTTCCAGTCTGAGCGGCTGGAGCAGGTGCTCATTGATGGTGATGGGTGCAATGGTGCATGGCCTGGAGACTCCACCAACCCTGTAGCCAAAAGCAGAACCTCTGCAGCTGAACCCCATGCCGGCTGCACCACAGCCATATCCACGCCTCGGAGGAGGACATCTTCCAACAGCTATCCTTGGCCTGGAGAATGCCACACCATCAAGACTTCTGCTGCTGAAATAACCCAAACCACGGCAGCCCATGCCACCACCCCAGTGACACGAGGCAATGCTGAAACTGCATCGATTCCGGGGAAGAGCTACAGAGGAAGAGCTGAAATTCCTGGTGGCATGGCCGGAGCTGATGCCGTAGGAGCAGCGGGTCATGGTTGCTGGCGGGAGAGGGACTGGTGCAGGCGATGTGCTGGGAGCAGATTCCAGGGTGCAGTTCCCTCTGATCACAGCGGAGCGCCTTCTTCCTTTTATTTGTGTGGAAAATGGGGCGAGGCTGCATGAAACTTCCACAAAATGTTTATGATGCAAAGAACGTGAACTGCTTAGCATATATTGCGCTTACCGACAGAGAAGGCAGCAGCGTGTTTGCCCCGTAAAGGTTTGAAGAATTCTGTAAAGTCAGAGGGGTCATTTATAGGTCTTGTGTAATAGCAACAAAAATTAGGGGAGTTGCGCTGGGTGAATTGTTTTCAGGACCCACGGTAAAAATTGCACGTTCCCCTTTTTACACGTTGGGTGAAGTGGAAGCGAGACTTCGACGATGTGAAATGCTTTTCTGTCAAAGGAGGCCTTTACATTTTGCTGGTACCTCAGCATGCACCTAAAAACTTTAAAGGAGAATGTGATTCAACCTGCTCTTTAATGAAAACTGTCAGTAATAAATGTGAATTTACAGAGAATTAATCAACAAAGTCTTGCAGGCAGGTTAGTGGTAAAAGGCAATGTTTTGTTGGTTCTGCCTGTAAGAAGGCAATGGGTTTTAGTGCCAGGGAAACATCTGTGGGGCCAAATCTATTTCTCAAGGTGATTTTTCTGCAGGTTGCCGATACGAGTGTTTTCCAACATGGCAGTTTATTTAGGGGGGAATTGCTGATTAGCTGAAATTGAAACCGGTGCTTGGAACACGGCAGCTTTTGCAGACACTCATATTGGCCCAGTCCCCAGAGAACTGGCGTCTTCTCCTGCCCTCATCCTTCAGCTTGAAGGTGAAGTTCCCACCGGGTTTGGGGCAGGGCCGGGCTTGGTCCTTTGCCTCCTACGTTGGGCGAGGGCCCTCATCGCAGCGTCAGGGCTCGGGCTCTTCCTGGCTTTCCTGTTCACATGCACGCGGTGTGTCCAGGGACTTGGAAGCATGGGGACGGCGTCAGTGCCTGCGTCGCTGTGTGGGAGGGCGGCGTGTTTCGTACAGGCAGGGTGGAAGTTTCAAACTAATGATTTTGTTTTGTTTACTGCATTTATTTCCCCTTCCCTGTTCGGAGGTTGGTTATACTTGCAAGCCAAAATTACCGGCTTTGCAGCAGGGTCTGGGAGCCCTGGGACACTCCAGCTCCAGGGCTCACGGCCGGCCGTGGGGGAATGGGGCATGAGAAGATCTAGAGTTAATCTTGTGATTTTAGGGTGTAAATCTTGTGATTTTAGGGTGTCCTCAGTCCTTGTATGTCAGACGACGTTGCTCCAGACTGTAGTTGTATTTTATGGCTCTGTGGCTGCATCCCTTCTCTCCACGTTGTCATCCCAGGTCATGCTTTCTGCTTTTGACAAGACAAGCAACAGCAAATGCAGCTGTGCAGCACTTTTGGACAGAAGTCTGAGGACAGAGGCTGAGGGAGGCTGGTCGTGCAGGGGCCCAGAAGGAGAGAGGGACAGTGGGTAAAGCTACAGGTTTTCCAGTGCACAGGGAAGGGTAGTTGAATATGTTGTTGAACTGACTCCAAAAAAAACCCCAAAATGTTTTGAGCTAGCTCAGTTAAACCAAATAGTTCAAGTTGGGTTGAGTGTGTTCGAATTAGACGTTTTGGTGTTACATTTTTTTTGATGGAAAAATCTCAATTAAAAAAAAAATTAAAAAATTTTGATTTAGCAAAACTTTTTGATGGGAAAATTCCTCCTTTTTTAGCCTACCAGAGGCTTCAGAGCAGGAAAATATCCCCTGGTTTTGTTCCTGTTCTCATGATGTCTCACATCCCAGCTGCAATCACGCCATTCTGGCCGTAGGCACTTTTAGCAGGTCTGTCACACCAGGGTGATTTTCAGGCCCTTGGGGCTTCCCCCCTCTCTTTCATCCTGGCTTTAGGGGATTAGGCCAGACGGTTGATGTTCGCTGAGTGATGGACACGGGAGGAGCATGGTGGGGGACACGTGCTGTGCCCCCCCATCTCCCTCCCTGTTCCCATGGACCAGCTCTGCGCCCTGCACTTTCCAAAAGCTGGTGGATCTCTTGAGGACTCTAATGAGAGATTGCATCAGCCTTGATTTGACTTCAGGGTTTTTTTTTTAATTGTCTTATTAATGCCATTTTGTAATTCTGAAAAGAGAAGCTATGTCATGTGATCTCACATTTGCTGTGTCAGTTTACTGGGGAGAAACAGAGAAAAAAACAAGATAAAGGCAAACAACGAGCATCATAGAGGAATCAGGTGATCTAGGTAAGACTCCTCTGCTCCCTTTGATTTTTAACTTTTCTTTGAAATCGTGTCCATACACTGGAGGAGCAGAAACTTCTGTCACTTGGAGATTTTTAAGCCTGTAGCTTCCCAGGCGAGTGGTTCCTTGATGCGTACGCTGTGTTAACTGTGCACTACCTAGTTAAAACATCATTGCTGCCCAGGCTTTGCTAGGCCTACGCAACCCAGGAGGAACAGGCGAATGTTGGGAAGAGCCAATTTGTAAAGCTACAGCACAAGGTAACAAAAAGAGCAGATTTCATAACAGAAGTAAATGTTGCAGGGAAGAAGCAACACGGACTGGACTGAAAGATTTAAAATGCCCCCCGTGTTTTCTGCGTCGGCTGCCAGCGGGCTGCTGCTGACATGAGCTGATGGAGTGAGGACCCTCCTTTCAAAGGTTTGTTGGCTTTTTTAGTGTTTTAACCTGCTAGGAGATTGTAGAGGAGACGACTTCAACATTGGAGTTCTTCCCGCTCAGAGCGCTGTATCGTCCCGTGGTGGTACACGCAGCACTGATGTCTCCAGAGCCGGTGAAGCTGCTTCTGCCACTGACACCTCCTGCGGTCACCAGACCTCTGCTTCTGAATACGGTTGCTGCTGGAAGAGTAGCTGCCACCAAAGCACGGGTCAGTGTTGCATGCGGTTCTTCCTGGGGATCGGCACACAGCTGCAAAGAAAGTATTTCAGCTCGGGATTTCCATTCTGCAGAGTAGGTTCAGGGGGACTGGTAGGAGCAGGGATTTGTCCTACAAACATTCACAGGACAGCCACCATCTACACTCAGCCTTAGGGGGATGGGGGAAATGGAGATATGAAAAACCAAAGTCTGTATTTAGTGTGTGTCCCTATAAGTGGCCGATAACTTGGAGGTCTGGGGATGTGGGAAGCTGCCAGCAGGCCAGGCAGGTCTGTCTGTGTAAGTGTGGACAAGTCCTGGCCACGGGCTTTGCCTCTGTCCCCTCAGCTAGCTTGCACATGAGTAGATACCCAGTCATCTCAGCTGGGGTGACGAAGGTGGCCAGACACAACCGTGGCTGAGCCTTTGGCTTGGTAAGACCTGAGGCTACACAAGACATCATCTTTATTCATGCAAGTTCTTCCATTTGGAGGAAAACTTAAATGCCTGAGTGTGTTAGGAGCTTTTGACTTTGTAAGGCCTTTGGGTCCACAAATGCTGGAAAGTGCTTTGGAAAGCGTCACTCCTTAGGATGTCAGGTCTCAGGGGGATTTACTGCAGTGACAGAGGCAATGGCTCATCAGGCAGACTGTGAAAGGTGGTTTTGGGGTTAGACATGTTACTGTTTCTTCCCTGTAACCATCCTATGAGGTTGTACCAGCACCCACCTGCTCTTCTCACCCTCCAGCAGCTTTCTGTAGGTCACGATCTTGATGTCCAGGGCCAACTTGACATTCATGAGCTCCTGGTGCTCACAGGCCATGTCCTGCTCCACCTTCTGCAGGGGTATCTCCAGCTCAGAGAGTCGGCACTTTGCATCCTTGACAACCACTTCCCTGTGCTCCTCAGCTTCAGCAATGGCTTCTTCCAGTTTGCATCTCTGCGGGTAGGAGATTTCCATTGCTGCCACTTATTTGCATGTGCTTTGAATAGTTCAGAGCTCTTGAATCTTCCTGTCTGTACATTTATCCACCTGCACTTCACGATATTTTCAGACTTTATAGGTAAACCTCTAACTCTAGCACGGTTCTCTCTGCCTGGGTCAGACCTTGGTGTATATGTTGTCTTCTCACTGCAGGTCTGTACTGATGGTAGTTCTGTTATTAGTTGTAATAGACCATTTTACTCTGTACTCCGGATTACAGGCGAGTCTTAGAATTGAGCAGCCATCAAAACCAGCTTTATTTCTCCCTTGCTCTAGAGGAGGAGTTTTGGAAGGCCACAGCCTGGGAACTGTGATTGACACATTATTGCCCCTGAGTCATCCTTACCTAGGCTTTGGTGTTTTCACATTCTCCAGTCAGTCTCTGAATCACTCGATTCAGCTCCACAATTTCATTCTTTGTGTTACACAAGCTGTCGTCGTGTTTGCCAGTGGTTTCTCTCAGTTCCTCACACTGAGGAGAGAGAAAATGCGATGCAAATAAATACCAGAGTGAGGAGATGACTCAGTAGTTAAACCTACTGTGTGATTCTGTGGCCGCCGTCCCGGATCTTGAGCTTTAAGGCAAAAGCCACTGTCACTGGGGGACACAAGTGACTCTTTACACAGCAGCAGCTCTGTGTGTGAAGACACTGACAGAGGATGCATCGTGCGTAGGGAAAACACAGCAGGTGGCTAAGAAAGCAGAGCGTTAAAAAACCTGGTCAACCCAGATTAGCAACTCTGAAAAAGCAGAGCCCTTAGCAAAAGTGGGGCATAACTACTTTTGTGAGTGCCCGTAATGGCTCACCGGGCTGTAGTACCAGGACTCCACAGCAACCCGTCTTCTTCTGGCAGTGTCACATTGAGCTTTGACATCAGCAATGATGTCATCTGTGTCCAGGCTTCAGCTGTGGTCCATTTGCACAGTAACGGAGGTGTCCGAAATGGATGCTTGGAGCTGAGCGATTTCCTGGGGGCGGCAGCAAGATTTTCAGTCATCTGCGCCAGAAGTGTTTCCCTGCAGATCTCCACAGTGTGGAGACAAGGAGATGTGGTGTTCTCCATGTGCCATGGCTTCAGGCTCACTGCAGAAAACCCAAAGAGGGATTTTCTGGCTTAATCTCCCCGGCTTCTACTTTCATCGTCAAGTTGAAACAGATTCCTTAGGATATTGCTTGTGCAGTGCAGGAGTGCAACACCTTTGAAATCCGGAGAAATCAACTGATGTACACATGAAACACCAAAAATCTCTGTGATCCCTAAAGAGGCATGGGGTGGAGGAAAAGGGAGTGGAAAACGAGAAGCTATTCCCACCTTATATGGGCTCCTCAGGCAGTTGATCTCTTGGCTGAGGGACTCCACCCTGGCTTCCGGCTTAGCTTTGTTCACTCAGGTGCAAGCCGCGTCCTGAAGTGCATCAAGGGTTTATGAAACGAAAGAACAAACTGCTTAATGCCAGCAAGTGGTGCGATTACAAACTCTTAGGGCTGCTCTTTTCAAGGACAGAGATTTTACCATTCTATTAAATTGTTCTTCTCTCTTATCCTCTTAGGCAGAAGGCAAAAAAATTGCTAGGCACAGGGAAGAGAAGGAGAGGTTTTGACCAGTTGGGGTATACAGACATCCCAAACGAAGTAGCTCAGCTAAAACTGACTCACTTAAGGTGGGATTCAACTCTTTTAATTAAAATATTCCGATAAGTTGGCCTTTAGGTCCCTCTAGAGTCTCTGGAGAGTGAGAGGCAGTCTCACCCTCTCTTTCCGGCAATATTGGCTGCTGTTCATACTAAAAGTCCAGAATTAGTAGAGACAGCAGTGACAGGACGGGGGGTAATGGTTTTAAACTAAAACAGGGCAGGTTTAGGCTGGATATAAGGAAGAAATTCTTTACAATGAGGGTGGTGAAACACTGCCACGGGTTGCCCAGAGAGGTAGTGGAGGCCCCACCCCTGGAAACATTCAAGACCAGGTTGGACAGGGCTCTGAGCACCCTGATCTAGTTAGCGGTGTCCCTACTCGCTGCGGGGGGGTTGGACTAGATGACCTCTAGGGGTCCCTTCCAACCCAAAACTTTCTGTGATTCTATGATTCTATGATTCTATAATAAGTGTTTGAGTTTGTTTGAAATGCTCTTACCTTTTTGAGCACAGCAAACTCATTCTCTGCACACATTTGTCAGTGGGTTTCCTCTTCATACCTGCAAGGAGAAGACATGAGATAACTTTGCTCCTTGTTATTCAGCTTAAGCAAGAATATGAATGTAATCTTCTTCCACCAAATGCTCAACCTCGGTATGGAAACCAGCTGCTGATGCAAGTCATACACGTGTACATCTGGAGGAGATCTTGCACCTTGTGCAGCCTTTGCCATCCAAAAAGTAGATGAGATCAGTTCTAGCCCTAGTTTTGGAACTTCTACCTTTTTTAAACTTACTTTTTCTTCTAATCGTCTGTGATACCCTGTACGGTGCTCAGTTCTGTTTCCAGCTTGGCTCTGTGGCTTCCCAGAACACACAGCTGCCTCTTCAAGTTGCCAATGTGAGTTTCATGCATTGGCTCGATGTTGCTCCTGGAACATTTCTGTTCCTGTAGAAATCTCTGTTTGGTCTCCAGCACCTTTTTTCTGTTGCTCCAGGAGCTGGACTTGAAACCCAGAATTGAAACATTCCAAGTATCGTGACTGGTTATGCTCGTGACACAGAAATGAACAATTACAGCCCCAGAACTGGCAAATTGAGAGATGAAAGCTGTGAGTTATTCAGGACGGGATCAGGTGAATGGAGAAGGCGTGCATGTAAAATCTGTCGAACGGCGTTTTCTCATAAGAAGGTTCTTCAGAAAAATGTCTCAGTGGTTGTTATGCAAAAAGCACCAAGTTAGACTCAGCACCAAAGTAGAGTGGAGTAAGTCAGAGGTAATTCTACTGGAGTTAGGGTTCAAGGGATATGAAAATGGGGCATTAGAGAATCAGCTTCTCTGCACTGAACAGCAAAGCTTGATTGTCATTTGCAGTAAGACTGCTTTACACCACTCCTGGAGCTAGAAAATACCTTCCTGCCCTCACTGGAGGTTCCTTTTCACTCTAAGGTGGTGCAAAACATCCTCCTTGTAAAACCCAAACAGCTCCTTACTGCAAAGTCAGGCTGCGAGTCTTGGCTGCTGTTGCTGGGAGGCAGCTTGGCAAATGCATTCTTTGTCTCGGGTGTGTCCTGCAGCAGCTCGCTACGCCCTGCGGCTGCACTGCCCACTGAACTGGGCACCTCTTCTCTTGCCTTGTCAGTGGAAAATGCAGATTTGTTATTAAGGGTCTTGATGTGCTACTTTTTCCTGGTACTTCACAGACTGAAGTTTTGGGTCCATCTCCAGCTTCAGCGGCATGAGCAGATGCTTCATGACTATGACCCTGGCAATGGGTGTGCAGACTCCAAGGCCTCCACCGACCCCGCAGCCAAAGCCAGCACCTCCAGAGCCCAACCCCAGCCTGCATCGGCACCAAGTCTTCTGCTGCCAAAGCAGCCCAGCCCGGGGTACCCCACACCAGCACCTCCGCAGCACGGGACGGTGCTGAGCAAGTATCTCTGCACATTTATCGGGATCACAGCAAGGCAGGAGCTGAAACTCCTTATGCCCCCAGCTCCAGAGCGAACGTGGTAGGGTTGGCAAGGTGTCGAGAGCAGCTCGAAGGGGAGTGAAGGCAGAGGGAGCAGCTGAACGCGGGAGCAGGAGGCAACACACGTGAGTTAACCTGGCCAGAAACCCTCTGCACTGACAAGCAGAGCTTTCACCTTTTTGTGTGCCAAGAAAACAGCCTTTGGCTTCACAACCATCCCCAAAAGACCATTTTTAAAGATATATATGAGCTTAGGTCGTTTGGTAATATCCCACTCGTCTCTTTTGTTGAATTTGAACCAGAGCTGCTTTTATGCACACACCTATTGTTCAGTTACAGGCTGCATTTCTAATTTGAAAGGGAGGGAATCCCTGGTCCTATAAAAACTGCATTTGCAAACCTCCCTTTTTTTATAGTAATCATGGAAGAGAGAAGCAGAACCAATCTTTTGATGTTTACAGGGCACTGGGAGCGACGGAAGGAGCGTTGCGTTGTTGTACCTGTGGGAAAAGAAGAATCTGAGTTGAATTGTTGGGAATGATCTAGGGATCCAAACACTGGGGCTGATTTGGCTTGGTGTTACATCAGCCTTTAGCTGGAGTTGCTCCTTCTGTAAGCCAAATTCTGTCATTTACTCCTTTCTTTCTTTCATTTGACCTCTGCAATTTTGTTGGCCTCGAGAACAATGTTTTAATTCCCTTGGGACTAGGAGATGGACCCTTGCAAGTGTATTTCTTGGTGCTAGGGCTCTGCTGGTCTGTAACTAGAAGCAGAAAACGGGTGCAGCAAAGTGGGGGCTGAGAGCAGGAGAAAGCTATGAAAGATGTTCCAGCTCAGACCTTAGCACCAGCCACTTCGGAAATCCAAAGCCAAAGGTTGAACAGATTGAGGGGATGATGGAGCGAGTGCACTGCTCCTGCAAAGAGAAATCCAGTCTGGTCTGCTGCTCTGTCGCTCGAGCTACCCGTGTGCTTCTCTCCTTCGCTGGCTGCCCTGAAGTCTGTTGTGTTCTCTAGTTTGGGGGGGATTGTGACTGACGCGGGTCAGGTAGGTCAACACCTCTCATCTTGTTGCTTGCGGAAGTGTCCTACGTGGGAACAGCTTACAGCAGAATTGGGCTTGGTCATTCCTTTCTGGTGAAATCGTTTGGCAAATCCTTGTGTGAATGTAAGTTTGGACTATATACAAATTTTTCAGCAAAAGAGGTGGGTTCATAGTGACAAAGATGCAGGAAAGGCAGAGAAGTCTTTCCTAGAAGATGAAACAGGTGACATTCAGTCCCATCTTAGCTGAAAGATCAAAAAGGCTGTGTGCCATGGCTGTGAACCCTCTTAATTCTTTTGCCTCCAGTGGGATAACACAGAGGGCTTAGCCCTGAAAATCTCAGCCTTTTCTAAAGGCACATTTGCTTTTATGTGATTTTCTTGGCATTCACCATGGCCCCAGAACATGTTGTGCTCCATGAAGAGGATCAGAGGGAAATTCACGTGTGCAAGCCTGAAAGCTGACCGGTCTTATTTAGCCACGCAACATTTTAGGTAAAGCTGTGTGGGAGGTGTATCTTCTAAGCACTTTTTGGGAGTCAGCTTAAAGGGAGTTCAGAGAGCTCAGCATCCCTCGTGACTGGGCCCTGGATGCTGGAAAACAGCTGCTACATGTGATAGTTGGCATCTTCCGTGAAATGGAAGAAGTCGTGTTCACTTCTTTTCTCACTTTCTCTCTCTTGGGTTTTTAATTACAGTACCGCCAGCTAGAATGAGCCAGCCTGGCTTCCATCTGCTGACCAAACAAAAACCTCAGCTCGGGAGCATCTCACTGCCCTGGGACTGCATCCTTGTTTAGCACTTGGCCTGACAGCTCTGCCGCCCGCTTTGGAGAGGGGATGGAGATACGTCCCTCCTGTTTTCCCAGAGCAAGCTGCAGGAACCAGCCTTTCCAAAAGTTTCACTCTGATGCATGAGATCTGTCTTTCCTGACTTTAAAACACCATTTGGAGTGCTCCTGATGTGCAGACACCTTCAGCCAACTGCCTAGAGCGCTTTCGGTCCCGCAGGGGGAGGGAGGCCTTACTGGGAAACGTGTCATTTCACCCAAAAGTGTCTGTTTCTGCCATTCGACTGGCTCAGATGTAGGTTTTTATGGCCAGGTGAAACCAGCCCCACCTTCTGGTCTTGCTCTGTTGGCTGAGCGACTTGGAAGACCTCCCAAAGCACTTGGGTATTGCTGCTCTGTGACCCCTGTCCAATACCCTTAATGTTCCCCGTCCTCTCCAGGACTGAGATGGGAGGGAGGAGGATACGGGAAGGCTCTGAGTGACAGTGAGTGTCTATTGCATATCTAAATCTTGCTCTAAAATTACCCTTTTAGGTGAATTTTGTAATGGCACAGAAAACCAACATTGTTCATGGCAAGTTTGATTGAAGTTTATTGAAGAAATTTCATATAACTCATACAGTCCAATGGGAGCAAAACATTAGAGGAAAAGAACTAGTTACATTTTGGCACATAGTTCTCCAACCCTCCTCTTTGCCTCCCTCCTCCTTCCATAAAAAGAGAAGGAAAAAAGAACCCAAGCTAAGAACAAAGGCACTAAAACAGAGGTGTTTTTCCAGGTTATGTGAAATCTATGTTACCGAAGCCTGCTGTTCCTCCGTTTTGTTTTTCCTGTATTTTTAACCCCTGTCTCTACTTTAAGCTTACTCTGGCTGGTGGAAAGGAGAATGACTTATGCTGAGACAAGCTCTAGCAACCTGTAGGTTACGTGATCTTTTGGCTTAAATTATAGGTACTGGGTGGGCGAGGGATTAGATGTTACAGAGAGCCAACCCCTTTCACCTAGGAAAAACGAAGCGTTTTTGGATGCAGACAGAGCTAGCGAGCGCTGGAGTGAAACAACAGCAATGCAAGAGGAATCGGGGAAGCAGAGCAACTGCCTCTGTACTGAAAGACACTTTGTTTTCAATTCTTCAAGCCTTTGGGCAGAGCAAACCCAGCGGTGGGGAGCAGGGTTGATGAGGAGGGAGCACAAGAGACTGTGGTCTCAACACACCTCCTGCTTTCCATCGTAAGCGGGTGAGGGGACACCTGCCTTCCTGTACGCTGGTGTAAATCCAGGTCCTGCATCTACTCTGGATTTGCACCAGGACACCAGAGCAAAAGGGAGCTGTGGGAAGCTGCAAGCTGAGCTCTAATGATGGCACCCGTTAATGGGGAGGCTGATTACACATTGACAAGCAGCACTGGACTTCTGTTCAGCTGGGTGAGGCTTTATGCAGAGGAATTAATTGGACCAGGAGAGGCATCTCTCCCAAGCCACTAAGTAGCGCTGGGAATATGCTTACCCCTAATGGGAAAGTGGCAAGCGTGGCTCTTTGGCCGGTGTTAATAGGCTTTGTGCTGGCAGCAAGAGCTGATGCTCAACCTCTTCTGCTCCGGATGAGCTGGGTGCCGCCATGACTTAGCTCCGATAGCTCTTCTTGGTGGTGCTTTTCGATACAAACCTCCTGCTTGAGCTGCTTCCTGCACCAGAGCTGAATCCCCCGGCCAGGCAGCTCCCAGCGCTGGAGCTGGCACCGCTTCCCCCGGTGCTGAGCCAGTTGCTGAAGCCTGACCCCAGCCCCAGCGCGTTCCCACCTCCGTAGCTGCTCCCAGATGAGACCACGGCTGTGATGGGAAACCATGGGTGGAGGGTTAGTTTGTTTGCAATAGTAGGAAGGAATTTCAGCCTTTAGTTTCACACACTCGTGTTTTTTCTTGGACAGTCTACCACTGCCTGTATTTCACGCATCTTATTCTCTGGCTGTTCCTCCTATCCTGTAGCAGAGCTGGCCTTAGAGATCTGAGTCTGCTAGGGACAGTCTCAGTCTACAAAACCTTTCAAGTTCAGAGCTGGTCAGAGGAAAGATGTATCAGGCTCTTTGGCCTCCCCAGTCCTGCAGAGTGCTGCAAGCCCCTAAGGATGCTCTGTTTTTGTGCTGGTAACTACCAGCTGCATAGCCCATTTTCCTTGTCTTATCCTCAGTTCCATGTGCATTTAAGGAATAACTCAATGAATACTCAATCTGTTGCTGAAGAGTCAGATTACTTACAAATATTCACTGCACCAACGCCTTCTCCAGCCAGCCTGGAAGAAAGAGAGGACAGAAAAGGAAGGGCTTGTTATTTTGGACAGTTTCAAGCAACAGTTTGGCACCAGGGACACTGGATAACAGCATGGTCTGGGGTGTTAAGGTCTGATGATGGGCATGCAACAGGAATTGAAATAACACCTGTAACTGCGTGGGATAGGGGTGTGTTTTCTCTGGAACTTTCTGTGGCCCTTCCCTCTCTTGTTGGAAGGCAAATGCGAAAACATCAATGGGATTGGACATTGTTTGGTTTGCAGGAGGAGCCACCCACCTGCTCTCCTCGCCCTCCAGCAGCTTCCTGTAGGTCGCAATCTCGATGTCCAGGGCCAGCTTGACGTTCATGAGCTCCTGGTACTCGCGGAGCTGCCGGGCCAGGTCGGCCTTGGCTTTCTGCAGAGCATCTTCCAGGCCAGCCAGTTTTGCCCTGGCATCCTTGAGGGCCATCTCCCCACGCTGCTCGGCATCTGCAATGGCCGTCTGCAAACTGGTGCACTGCCAGAAGTGGAAATAGGTCTGGTGACTGCTCGGTGGGTTTGGACCCTGACTTGCGAAGGTACAGCAAGGTAGTGGAGATGGAGGTGCCCCCATGTTGGGAGGGGTCCTGTGCACTGTACCTGTTTCTTTACACTATCAATTTCCGAGTGGAGCCGCTGGATCACGCGGTTCATCTCTGAGATCTCCATCTTGGTGGTGTGGAGGTCATCCCCGTACTGGCCAGCTGTGAGCTGCAGCTCCTCATACTGAGGTGGGTGGGGAGATGAGACACCAGGGCATGGTCAGATCTGGGCAGGAGCTTGAATTCATTGGTAGAGATTGACTCTGCTCTGATACTCTCTTGAACAGGGCTTCTGTCTCTTTCTGTACTCAGTCCAAGCTCTTCCCCATGAACTTTAGCATATTTCGTTCCTCCCTCTATCTCCTCATGCTCCTCTATCTCTTCTTGTCAAAATGGCATTTTCACACATCAAAGAAAGCAAACGAAATTCTATGCAAATGGACTTGATTTTATACCCTACTCCCCTATCCTTTCTGCTTGCACTCTCCAGTATAAAATAGCCTCTGCGAAATGCTAGACAAAACTTTTGCTAGCTCACCTTGTTAATTTTTGCGTCCTCACCTTGCTCTGGTACCAGGACTCTGCCTCTGCCCGGCTCCGGTTGGCGATGTCCTCGTACTGCGCTTTGACCTCTGCAATGATGCTGTTCAGGTCCAGGTTTCGGTTGTTGTCCATGGACAGGACCACGGAGGTGTCAGAGATCTGTGACTGCATCTGAGACAGCTCCTGTAAGTCAAACAAATTCATTCCCAGTCCCAGATGTTCCACTGTTGTGCTTGTGCCAGAGATGATGTGTGGTAGAGGGGTAGGGATGGGGAGGAACTGCAGCTCCGAACATCTCTTTCAGGCTGTTTCAGTCCTGTTGGTACCAGGAAAAAGGGGAAACAGCAGAACTGGGATATTTGGGAGATTCTTACTGCTTCGTAGAGGGCTCGCAGGAAGTCAATCTCATCTGTCAGTGCATCCACTTTGGTTGCCAGATCCACCTTGTTCACATAGGTGGCATCCGCATCCTGGGATCACAACAACAGAGGTAGTGAACCAAACCTTGCCTGTCTGCATCCCTGTGCAAAGACCAGTTGTCATTTAATATGAACCACTGGAGACAAACCAGAACTGAAGACTTTCTTGAGCTCTGTGCCTTTAAACAGAGCCAAGAATGAACTGGTTTCTTCCTTCCACCTTTTTCTGGGGGGAAGGGTGGGATGATATGCATAGATCTAAGCGATTTTTAACATGTCAGAAGCCACTGAATTTCCCTTTTTTTTGCGAGTGCACAGAGATTTTGGACAGTGCTTGAACCAGTGGAAGTTTCTCATTGTGTCTCCTGGCGGTGGGACCACGGATGCTGTGGAGGGCAGTAATGGACACAGAAAGGCTGCAGAAGTGGCACAGCATCTACTGGAGTGACTACAAGGTGTGGATGACCCAGATAGGATCTGGTTCCTGGGGGACCAGGATTCACCTGAATTTTGGATGAGGGGCCTGAAATAAGAACGAGCTGCTGCCAAGGACTGACAGACTGGCACAGCTGGGTGTTTCTTCTTCAGGGAGGTATGACTACATGTTTGCTAAGTGCTTTCCCAGCTTGGCACTGCTGGATAAAAAGGGTTATTTACATTCAAATGTGTTTTGCCTTTAAAAAGCGTGTCCCTTCTTTGTTGTTGTGCCTCACCTTCTTGAGCAACACAAAGTCATTCTCTGCAGTCGTGTGCTTGTTGACCTCCTCTTCATACCTGTTGGGAAGGGGAGATGAGCATCCCTTTACAGCTTCCATACAGCAACCCACCCTGTCCACCATGGGCATATGGAAATTCCTCCTCCACACGTTTGCCGTAGGGTGCTTGCTGAGAGACTAAAGAGTCTGTTCCCAGGGACATTTAGCACCGATGCATAGATCTTAGGAGGAAACAACAAAAACAGCTACCTAACCACGCACATCTGTCCTTGCTAGGTCAGTGCATATATTGTACATAGCATATTAGAAGTATATCTCATTGATTATGATAGAAAGACAGCACCCTTGGGCTAGGTGGTGGGAGGAAGCCACCTCAAAAAGCCTCAGGCCTTCATTAAAGTCACATTTTATCCTCCCAGAAGCTTTCGCTATGAACGGGAGCCGGGTGCTCTCTCAATTTTCTCAGGCCAGGGGGGCCGGGTGGAGCCGTGGCTGAGCTCATTGCCGCCACGCCTGGGTTAGTCAGCAGAGCCGGGATCTCTGACGCCAGGTCCTGCGGTGGCTTCAGGAGGGCTGGGGGTGGGCAGGTAGCAGGGAGGATGATGGCCAGGGCAAGGAGATCCGAGGTCTGGATCAGCAGTAGCACACAGTCCCACTCTTGGGAAAGGATCCAACCCTTATCCAACCCTTAAAATAATTTCTGCTAAATAAAGTCCTAGCCTGTATATAGGTTTGTGGGTCTCTAAGCATTTAGCCACATAGACAAGGAAAACTAATTTGGCCTGTGTCTAATTTCTAATTGCCCTATGGATTAGTATTTGACTCAAAAGAGCAAAGCATTAGGAAGAATACTTTGGGATCCACAAAGTTTAAAATAAATAAAGGCGAGAAGAATGAATTCCTAGGAAATAAGGACAGAAGCAGTGGCGTCCATTGCCAGGCATAGGCATTGGTGCCACAATGCAAGATGATGGTCCCTCCCCTCAAGGTGTACGATGTGACTGAGCTTTTGCCCAAAGCCTCCCTGATCTGGAGCCAGAAGGAAAATTTGCTGCTTTGTCGGATGCAGGCACAGTACTGAAGTCTGAACCTCTTCTGTGATGTGACCTTCGGTTGTCAAAGGATTTCTTGTCTGAAGTCATGGTGTGCCCAAGGGTCTTAGCTGAGCAATCTCTGTCGCTGCTTTGCTGCTGCAGATTGTGCTAACGTTAGACATTGCTTTTCAAAATTTAAAATTGCTTTCACCATGGACCTGTGATGAAAACAGAAGGAAACTCCCTGACCCAGTTAATCCACAGCATGGTTGTTCTTACAGCTGAGATTCAACTCTGCTCAGCTACTGAGGTCTTAGATGGCTAAACTGGCACAGTGCAGATATTTTTTTTTTCTCTATTAAACTTTTCTTTTCTAGTAGCACGGAGAACCATAAAGTAGAAGTCTCAAAGTAGACCGTGGATGATGATTTCTCTTCCCCAAGGCAGTCGTTTCTCTTCCGACGCTGC